CCCTCTTACTGAACTGACTCTCATTATTCAATGGCGCCCCATACTTACAAAGTGCCTTCCCATCCTTGTCTCATTGAGAGCCAGTATGGTGAAGTACAAAGAATCCTGCATTCATTCAGAGTCAGAAAATCTGGGTTTGAATCTTGCCTCTAACACTAGAGGAGGTGACAGTGGAAATTCAGTTAATACCTCCAGAGTATTATAATTCTCTCTTGGGCACCCCAGTTTAAGAAGGACATTTGATAAGCTGGAAAGCGACCAGAGAAGGGTGACCAGGTTGGGGAAGAGTCTTGATTTTGTGACATGGACATTAATTTATCCTGGGGAAGAGATGTGGGAGACCTGATAGCTGGGCCATCTTGTGGATGGGGGATTAGACCTATTGTTATTTTTTTTTTTATGTCGAGGCAATTGGGGTTAAGTGACTTGCCCACAGTCACACAGCTAATAAGTGTTGTGTCTGAGGTGGGATTTGAACTCAGGTCCTCCTGACTTCAGGGCTGGTGCTCTATCCACTGCGCCACCTAGCTGCCCCTGGATTAGACCTATTCTGTTGGCTCCAGAAGACAGAACCCAGAATAATGAGTCAAAGATGCAAAGAAAGAGGTACATTTCAGCTTGATATAAGGAAAAATGACCTAACAGTGAAAGCTGCCCGAAAGTAGAAAGGGCTGCTTCAAGCTCTGGGGGGAGGTCCTCAAGCAGAGGCCTCAGGATCATTTGTATATCACAGTAGACATTCCTCTGTGTGAGGGCTAGACTAGATGCCTTCTGAGGTACCTTTCAACTCTGTGATTCTGGGATTCAGTACAATGACTAATCTTGTAGGGTGCTGAACTAGGAAATCACAGGACTTGAGTGTGAGTCTTGGCACTGCCCCCTACTTCTTGTGTGACCTTGGGCAAGTCACCACGTGTGTGTTGGGGGGCGGATCAGTTTCCTCATCTGAAAAACGAAGAGGACGGCCTCAATGAGCTCTGCGGTCCTTCTAGCTCTAGACCCAATATCTTCTGATTCTAAGATCTCTTTGACTCTCAGTTTCCTTATCTGTAAAATGGGGATAATGGCACTTGCATCATTTACCTCACCGTGTTATTATGAAGAAAGCACTTTGCAAATCTTTAGTCACTATAGAACTGTGAGTTAGTCTTGGGATGCTGTATTAAATGTGATTCCTAAAGACAGCCTTGTGAGTTGGGCAGTGCGTGGATTACTATACTTATTTTACAGGTGAGGAAACTGCTGCTTAGAGAGGGGAAGGGGTTTGCCCCAAGGCCACACAGCATGTTTCAAGTTTAAAGAGGAAGATACTTTTCCCTAGTTGAGGGGGGGCCGAGTCCAAGGGAGGGAGGCAGAGTCTGGTCTTCACTGGGATGGTATTGGTAGGCTCTGTCCCCCCAGGTTGGGTTTCCAGACCACACTGACCCGGTGGGGCTGGCCACTGTCTCTTCCTCTGCCATGGGCCCCTCTCAAGCCAGATCTCTGATCAACCCCACTAGCCTCTCAAGGCCAATAGTGTAGGTAGTGTTGAGGAACACAGAGGAAAACAACAGCCTCCAGGCAAATGGGGCAGGAGTCACATGCTACTGAGAGGAAAGAGCCTGAACATTGCTGGAGGCACTCTGCAGAATCTAGTCTGGGGCATCATCTTCCTAGCTCACAGTTAGTTTCTCCCTACCACCTCTGAGTCATTCATAGGATTTATAGCTGGAAAGGACCTCAGAAATCTGGTCCAACCCCTCCTAACATTACAATTGAGAAAACTTAGACCAAGAGAAGGTAAATGCCTGACCAGGGTCACCCAGTGAGTCAGTAGCAGATTTGGTTCTGAGCCTTAGTTTCCTCATCTTTGAAATGGGGGTGTTGATAATACAATTGCTACCTCACGGGACTGGTGTGAGGAAAGTATTTTATAAACTACAATGTGATGGGGAAATATGACATATTCATATGCCACCATTATTAATCATCATCAGATATAAACTCCTGAAAGCCTGCCATTGGATCTGGCCTGTATCACCACTTCTCATTTCAAGCCCATCTCGATCCAGAGACGCTGGCCCGTTCACAGGTCACCAAATGTGTTTTGAGATGTGGGGGGAGGGAAGGGGAAAGGAAACAACCATTTATTGATCACCTACTATTACATTCTGGGCACACTCTACAGTACAATGACCTCACCTTCTGCCTGAAGGCTGCTTTCAAATTTAACCTCATCCATAGAAAGTCCTCACTGATCATCCTCAGTGCCCAAAGACTTCTTGCTCCTCTGAACTTTCTTGGCTTTTAAAAATCAAAATGATAGTTAACATTTCTAAAAGAACCTTCTGTTTTACAAAGCAATTTTATATAATTTCATTTAATCTCAACAGCCCTGGGCAAAAATTACTGTTGTCACTTTGTAGATGAAGAAGCTAAGGCTCAGACTTGGTTGTCCAAGACCACACAGCTGAAAGCCAGGCCCAATACTCTTTGAAAGTATATCATAGCTGTCTGATCATTTATGTAACATTCAGAGGCATCCTCTGGGATTGTAGTTATGTGTGTACCCCTCACTCCCTTCCTACCACATTGTAAGCTCTGTGAGGATGAGGGCTGGGACTGTCCCTCACAGCTCTATGCAGAGGGCGGGGCACAATTGGGCACTCAGATAAATGGTTGAATGATCACACCAGTCAGCTCCTTATAAGCCAACTGTAATGGGAGGCTGCCTGTAAATGAAATCCATAGCCTAGCCCCAACCTTCGCTGGAGACAATTCCACCCACTTCCTTCCCTGTTCACCCTTTACCCAGAGTAGCTGCCAAGGAATTTTACAAACTTCTTTCCATCCTCCCACTTTTCTCTCCTCCCCTCAGCTTCCTTTAATCCAGGAAATGGCCCCCAGATAGTGATGAGTCGGTTCCATGCTTTGTAGCCTGGGCTGTTTGATGGTACTTTTTTGGTTTTTTGGCCAGCTTATTGATTATCACTGTAGGGGCCTAGGTAGGATGGCATAGGTAACCAAGAAACAGAGGGAAAAAATGACTTTGAGTTAAAGAACGGTGGAGCCTGAAGGGACTTTAGAACATAAGATATCAGAACTAGGTAGGCTGTAGCCCAGGGGTGGGGAAACCTGTGGCCTTGAGGCCACATGTGGCCCTCTAGGTCCTCAAGTGTGGCCCTTTGACTCCAAACTTCACAGAACAAATACCCTTGTTTCTGTGAAGTTTGGCTTCAGTCAAAAGGCCACACTTAAGGACCTAGAGGGCCACATGTGGCCTCGAGGCCACAGGTTCCCCACCCCTGGTCTAGTCTAATCATTCTAGCCTATTGCCTTCATTTGACAGATAAAGAAAACAAGGTCTAGAATGGGGAAGGGACTGGCTCAGAAATGTCAATCTAGGTTTCCTAGATCTCAACTCAATATCTTTAGCTCTCTATCACTCCCCATTGACCCACCTCTTGCCCCTTCCTGGCCACAGGCTATGTAGGAGCCTCATGGGTATCTAAGGGGTATTTGGGTCATTCTCTGCCACTTTTCCATATCTGTCACGTGGTTGCCAAATCCCTAAGAGGTACCATTCCTTAGAGTGACTACTTTCCCCATCCTAGCATAAGCTCATAGGGTTTTAGAATTGGAAAGGACTCTAGTTCTTTCCCCTAGTTCAATCCCCTCACTTCATGGATAAGGAAACTGAGGCACCAAGAAGGGGAATGACTTGCTCAAGGTCACATAGGTAGAGCTGGGATTTGAACCCAGCATTTCTGGTCTTAAATCCACTGATCTTTCCACAACACCATACTGCTGTGTACTTGTTTATAAACCTCTTTCACCAGGTACCTTTATCTCTGCTTTGGAAACAAGATCAGAACAAATTTGCTTAGGCCCAGAGGGGGAAAAAGAGGCTGTTGACTTTAGACCAAAATCCAACCTTTTAAGAGAAGTGGTGAGTAGAGGGAGGACACTGCCTCTTGCACAATCCAGGGGGTCCATCTTGCTGGCCTGGGCCTTTTTTGGGGTTAGGGGGCAAACCAAGCGGTAAACTAATTCCCTGTTAATTTTTTAAGGCAGAATCAACAGGCCAACAATGATTAGCAGGTGGGCAGGTTCATCTTAATCAAGGGGAACAGGCTGAGGAAAGTCAGCAGGCAAGGCCTGTCCAGGGAGCAGAGGGCTTGAGCCCAGTTAGCAGTTAACCACAGGGGCTCTATTTCCTCCTCTATGGTGGCCTTCATTGGGTACCCTCCCTTTTTTCCTGGAAGCACAGAAAATGGCTCATAATTGTTGATCAGAGTTGGTATGAATTGATCAAGGAATAGAAATTTACTGAGAACCTGTTGTATGTAGATTCCTGTGCTAGGCACTGAAAAATGAGTAATACATTGACCCTTCCCTCCTCCCTCCCTCCCCCCCTCATGGGGCCTACAGTCTAGTTGGATGGACAGAATTCACATACCTGGAAAGCTCACTAACATTCCCAGGTCTCGTGTTCTCAAATACCCAATGAGTGGCACTGATAGGGCTTTGAGAGGTCAGAGTTGGAAGAATCATCCTTTAATCGTAGAACATAGAATGTCAGAGCAGAAAAGGACCTTGGGACATAAAACGTGGAACCTTAGAGGCAGAAGGACCCTTAGAACACAAGGTATAGAGTATTAGAATTGGAAATATCTTCGAAATGTGTAACGTGGTTAGGGCAGGAGAGGCTCTTAAAACAAAGACCATAGAATATCAGTCCTAGGAAGAGCTTTTGAACAGAAGACAAAGAATGTTAGATCTGGAAGACCCTTAGAATATGAAACAGAGAACATCTGAGATCGAAAAAACCCTCTGTTTTTATAGTGAAGAAAGCTGAAACCCAGAAAGGGTATAAACGACTTGCCCCAGTTCTCACAGAGTTTGAAGCAGAGGCAGGATTAGAACCCAGGACTCCTGCTCTTTCTACTACAGTCTGCAATGGCAGAGGGGAGAAGGGATGTCTGAGCCTTCAGGATAGGGGCACCCAAGCTGAATCCTACCTTGTCTCTTGCCTGTGGTTGCCAGTGAATGTAACCCAGCTGTAGTTCCAAGAAAGAGGCTGCAGGCTTTAGTGGGCCAAAGGGAATCCCTCATGATCAAGGGAAAGGCAAAGGTAGGGGGCAGTCCAGAAGAGGCTGATCTCTTTGGGGTTCCAGGGAACTGAAAGAAGTGGCCAAGTCAGGCCAGCCCCAGTGGAGGTGGCTGCTTGGAGTGGAGTTTGGTCAGTGGTTGGGGATCTATATTGTGAGATAGCTAGGACTTTGTCCACAAACTGGAATTTGAAATTTCAAAGGGGAGAAAGCTGAAGTGCCCTATCCCTAGGAGTGGATATGGCTCTTGGCTTCTTTCCCCCCACCCCCACCCCAGCCCCTCACCTCCTCCCCTACTCTGACTTTTGTTCTTTCTCTTGATAACTCTTGGGCAGCTGGGAGTGGAAGGGTGAGAACAGGAGTAGGTGTAGACTAGGACCACTTAACACAAGAAAACTTCCCACACCCAGCCCTGCACAGACCCCCCTCTGCCCATACACCTGCTCCTCAAAGAGTGTCTCTCTCATTGTGTTTTTCATCCACATCTGGACTGTATGCTCCAGAGCCTGGCCTTTCTCCTCATGTGATCTCCCATACTGTCCGAGTCCTAGAATGACAGAACTGGAAGGGACCTCGGGCTTGGTCCACAGAATGTTAGTGCTGGGGGGAACTGTCAGAAATTGGAAGGGGGTTTAGGGGATGGAATGTTAGTGCTTGAAGAGACCTTAGAATGCGGAACAGAGGTTGTTAGAGCTAGCTTGAGAACACGGGCTTTTATAACCATAGATTGTCAGAGACAGAAGAGGCTTTAGAGCCAGGAAGGTTAGTGCTAGAAGGAGCCTCAGGATACAGTGTCAAGAGGGAGGGGGCCTTGGAGCACTGAATGTGAAAATTAGAAGGGACCTTTGAACATACGGTTTAATCTCAGAGTTTGGATGACTTCTTAGAGATCATTTAATCCAACCTTTTCATTTTACATTTGGGGAAAATGAGAGACAGCCAGAGTACCCAAAGTCACATATAATATACTAGTGGCAGATCTGGGACCCCAGCCTCCCAGAGACAGAAAGAACTAGGAGCAATGAGTAGGAATTGCAGAGAAGCAGATTTAGATTTCAACGTAAGGTAAAACTTTGTAACAGTCAGAACCATTCAGAAGTATAATGAGGCAGCTAGATGGCTCAGTGGATAGAGCGCAGGGCCTGGAATCAGGAAGACCTGAGTTCAAAACTGGACTCAGCTACTTAGTAGCTGTGTGACCCTGGGCAAGTCACTTACCTCTGTTGGCCTCAGTTTCCTCTTCTGTTAAATGAGCTACAGAAGGAAATGGCAAACCACTCTAATATCTTTGCCATGAAAACTCCAAATGGGGTCACAAAGAATTGGACACGATTGAAATGACTGAATAACAACAACAGAAAATATAATGAGCTGTCTTGGTAATAAGTGGTTTCTGCCTTGGCATGCCTTTAAGGGAAGGCTGGATGACCACTTGCTGGAGATGTTAGGGATTCTTGGTCAGGTGTGGGTTGGACTAAAGGCCCTCTGGGGTCCCTTTAAACACTGAAATTCAATGACTTGTAGGGCAGTGTGGGATGCTTCTGCCTCAGTGCATTCACTGCTTCTGCATTCCCTGTGGGTCCCCATTGTCAAAGCTGGGAAGAAAATCTGGTAGGATGGGATGAGTGTCTTAAGGCAGGCTGGGGGCCTGGCCCTAGGACAGGTTGGGAGCCCCAGGCCTCTGTTGCAAAGTCCCTACTGCATTGCCCTCTGAGGAGACTCTCTTCCCAGGGAGGGTGAGCTCCGTTGGTTAGAGGGTGATGCTAATAATGTCAAGATCTTCAGTATGATCTTCAGATGAGCCATGGTACTATTTATTTGGAGGAGGCAGAGAGGTACTGTGGAAAACCTGGCTCTGCCTCTGCCACTCACTACCTGTGTGACCTCAGTCAAGTCATCTCTCTAGACCTCAGTTTCCTCATTTGTAACATGGAGGATGGCCTTTGAGGTCTCTTCCAGCTCCAAGTCTATTTTCCTATGAACCAAGAGAGAAAGGGAAGGCCCTGCTGAGTGCTGGGCTGGCTCCGCTATACCCCAAGCATTGGCCTAAGCAGCTGGTTTGAGTTCTGCTAATCTAAAAAAATGACCCTTCCAGCAATACCCTTCTCACTGCCCTCCTCACCTCAAGTTTCTGCATACAGTCTCCTCACTGCTGTCAGAATGGCTTTCCTAAGGTTCAGGTCTAACCATGTCACTCTCTTACTCAATTCCAATGGCTCTCCATTACCTCTGGGTCAAATATCAACCCCTTGATTTGGCATTGAAGGCTCTTAACAACCTGGCCTCTTCCTAGCTTTCTTGCCTTCTAACCTGTTGGTCCCCTTCCCACACTGTAGTCCAGCCATACTGGCTCCCTTTGAACTGCCTCCCATCCCTGGAATGCTCTCCTTTTTCTCCTTTCTCACCCGGCACTTGGTCCTTGGCTTCCTTGAAGGCTCACTTCAGTCACTACCTTCTCCAGGAAGCCTTTCCAGTTCTTACAGCTGCTACTGTCTTCCCCTCTAAGGCTGAATGACATCTGTACTGTATTTATCTTGTATGTACTGATTTCTTTTCTCCTCCCTATTAGTGTGTAAGCTTCTTGAGGGCAGGGGTTGTTTTTGCTTTTTCTTTGCATTCCCAGCACTTACTCTGTGCTTGGCACAGAGTAAACACTTTATAAATGCTTATTTACTGATAAGTAATAGCTGTGTGCATGGATCAAGAAACAATGTATATTGCAGTTGAGGAGAATAGAAAAAAATTAATACTTGATAATTTAAAAGAATTAATTTATGAAAAAGAAAAAAAGAAGAAGTGATGAGTAGGCTAGAGTTCATTCCACAAGACTGTGGCCCAAGCATTGACACAGTAGACTGTGGTGGAACCCACCTTATCCTTCTCCCTGTCTTGGTTGCCCTTTCCCTGTGTCTAAATCTCTACTTCTATTCAGTGTATTTCCTGCTACCAGTCCTCTTCTTCTAGGCCCAGGGTCTTGGCTCCCTTAGAGAAGAGCCCTGTGGAGCCCAGGAGATTAGTGGGACCCAAATGAATGAGGCCTTGGGTTGGAATTAGGAGGGTGGGAGGGAAAGAGGAGGGAGAAATAAGGAAAGAGACCACAGGCCACTGTTTGACTTGTTATGAGGCCCTTATCTAATCATAGAGGTTATTTGGGCTGAGTCTGGGGGGAGGGCCAGCCAGCCTAGGAGACTGCCCTGGGATTGAGTTTATATTCACAGGGCCTCTTCCTCACAAATAGGTCAAGGAGTCTCCTGTCCCTAAGACACATATGGCACTTTTGCTAGAACTCTGGAGATCGGCTTCTCTGGGGGTATGCCAAGGATGTCACAGCTAATGTCCTCCCGGTTCAGTGGAAGTAGGACTGGCTTCTGAGTGGGAGCACATTGTTCAAATTCCAGCCTTACTATATACATTAAATGGATCACCTTAGTCAAATTGTTTTCTCTGTTAGACTGTGAGCTTTGACTTTCTCTTCTGTAAAATAAGAGGGTTGGATACTATGAATATAGTTTAATATACAATTGTTTTCATTTTTATATTTAAATGTTTATTTTGTTGGTGCCTAGGAGATTTAGAATACGCTTAATGAAGAAGTAAGATAAGAAGTTTGGCTGAGATTTGGGGCACCAAACCCTTACTAAGTACCTACTGTTTGCAGGGCACTGTGCTCCAGTCTAGGAACGCCAAGCCTAAAATAAAAAGCCATTTGTGCTCAAGTAGCTTCCTATGTATTGGATGCTCTCTAAGGTTCTTTCCAGCTCTGTACATGTGGATCCCTTTCCATGAGAGCAAGGGGGAAAGCCCAGCCTGCCCATCTAAGAACCAGGGTTTGCCAGATGTTTGAGACTGTCGGAGGTCAATTCATCTGTCCTCCTGCCTCCAGGAAGACCTGTGCTCAGGTCAGCCCAGACATCTGTATGTCATCTGTATTTGAAGGTCTCCATGGGAGAGGCCATCATGATTATAATCAGGCTCATAATATAGATTCTCTGTAGCTTTTGATACTGTTGACCACTCTTCCCTCCTGGACACTCTCTCTTCCCTGGGTTTTTGTGATACTGCTCTCTCTGGGTTCTCCTAGGTAGCTAGATGGTATAGCAGATAGAGTGTTGGGCCTGGAAACAGGAAGACCTAAGTGCAAATCTGACCTTGGACACTAACTAGCTTTGTGACCCTGGGCAAGTCACTTAACCTCTGTCTGCCTCAGTTTCCTCAACTATATAATGGGGATAATAAATAGCAAACCCACCCAGCGTTGTTATGAAGATTAAATGAGATAATATTTATAAAGGCTTAGCACCGTGCCTGGCACATGGTAGACATTTAATAAATGCTTGTTCCCTTTCCCTTCCTTCTACCTATTTGATCACTCCCTCTTAGTCTCCTTTGCAGGATTATCATCTATGTCCCACCCCCTAAACTTGCTGTGGGCCCTTTGTTCTTACTCCTCTTTCCTGGTGGCCCTCCAGGGATTAATTTATTAAATTTTGGTGTTGATAGTTCTCATGTCTACATTTCCAGTTCTCGTCTTTATCTCCTATGTTACAGTTTCTTGTCACTCACTGCCTATTGGACATCTCCACCTAATTCTGCAAGCTCCAAACTGAGCTCCTTATCTTAACCCTTATACCTACCCTTCTTCCTAACTTCCCTTCTAGTCACCCGCATTTGCTACCACAAAATTGTCCTCTACACCTCTCCTTCACCCCCACTGCTCACGTCTAATCGATTGCCATGTTTTGTTGATTTTACTTCCACAATATCCCTGACCTATCTTTCTAGGTTTATTTTATACCACTCCTTCTCATACATTCTGTGATACAACCAAAAAAACCTGCTTACACATCCACATGCATAGTATCCCATCTCTCACCTTCCTGACTTTGCACAATCTGCCCCCGTGACATGAATGTTTTCCTTTCTCAACTCTGCCTCTTGGAATCCTTAAGTCCCTTCAGTTCAGTTGCTACATCCTCCATGAAGCCTTTCTTGATGCCACCCCCTTCTCCCACACCCAGCTGTTAAGTGATTGTTGAATGAGTACTTCAAGGACTTATCAGTTTCATCAGTGTTCATACTTCCTCTAATAAGGCTGATGCAACCCCAAGAAGATATAAATTCCACACCTTAGTAGGCATTGAGAGTATCTGTGGC